CCTCTGGTTCCACAGGTGTCTTTCTGATATCTTTCAAAGCCACAGCTGCAACATAGCTTGCTGACTGACTTGTTCCTGAGCAAGAGTGAACAGTGGTGAGGCAGGAGCAGTTGCCATGGACTGGAATTCCCCTGCAATTGTGACCTTGTCTTCTTCAAAGAGCCACCCCCTTTTCTTGAACTCCTGACAACCACTAATCTGTTTCCCATTTTTGTAATTTGTCATTTCAAGACTATCATATAAATAGAATAATACAATGTATAACCTTTTCTGATTGGCTTTTTTCACTCAGCATAATTCTTTGGGAATTCATGCAGGTTGTGTGGTCCAGTGTCTTTTGATGGCGGAGTAGTATTTCGTGGTATGGATGTACTACAGTTTATTGAACCTTTCACCCATTGAAGGACATTTGGTTTGTTTCCAATTTTTGGTTATTACAAGTAAATCTGCTGGAGACATTTGTGTATAACTTTTTCTGTGGACATAAGTCTTTCTTTCCTGGGATAAATGCCAAGAAATGCTATTGGTAGGTCATGTGGTAATTGAGGTTTTAGTTTTTTAATAAATTGCTAAAGTGTTTTTCAGTGTGGGTATACTAGTTTCACATTCCCACCAGCAATGTATCAGTGATCCAGTTTCTCGGTATCCCTGGCAGCAGTTGGCCTTGTTACAGTTTTCCAATTTTAGACGTTCTGATAAGTGTGTAGTGGTATCTCATTGTGGCTTTAATTTTCATTTTTCTAATGGCTAATGATGTTGAACATTTTTCATGTACTTTTTACCATCTGTATATACACTCTGGTGAAATGTCTCTCATCTTTTGTCCAGTTTCTATTGGGGTTGTTTGTTTTTTAACATTGAATTTAAAAGTTCTTGGGCCAGCTGAGTGGCTCGTTGGTTAAGAGCTGGCTTGGGACACCAGCTCGGAGCAGCAGGGCCCTGGTTCGGATCCCACATTAGGGTCAGTGATGCTGCGCCCTCTACAGCTAAGATGGTGAACAACAGCTTGACCTGGAGCTGGGCTGCCGTGAGTCGCCGGCGATGGCATAGGCTGCAGTGGGCTGCTGTGAGCTATCATGAGTGGCCAGCAGCTAGCATGAGCAGCCAGCAGCTGGCATAAGCTGCCTGAGCCACTGTGAGCGGCCGTCCAGAGGCCGGCAACCGATCTGCCTCACCCGGGAAGAGCGCAATGATCACAATACCAACATGGGCCAGTGAAGCAACACCCTCCACAACTAGAATGAAGAACAAAAGGACAGCAACTTGTCTGTTCCCCTTCCCCCAATTCCCCAACGCTGTTCCCTCCCCCAATTCCCCAATAAAATCTTTAAAAAAGAAAAAAAAACTTTATATATTGTAGATACTAGTTCTTTGTTGGATATATGATTTGAAACATTTTCTTCCAGTTTGTGGCTTGTCTTTTCATCCTCTTCATAGTTTTTTTTTTGCACAGGGCAAAGTTAATTTTGATGAGGTCCACTTTAACAGTTTTTCCTTTTATGGAAAAACTTCTTTGGTGTCAAATCTAAGAACTCTTTGCCTATCCTAGATCCCAAATATTTTCTCCTATGAAAAAATACTAATGTTATGTAATATCTAAGCCCGTGATTCATTTTGAATTAATTTTTATATAAGTTATGAGACTTAGGTAGAGGTTCTTTTTTTTAAATCTGTTGATATCTACTTGTTCGAGCCCCTTTTGTTGAAGAGGCTATCTTTCCTCCATTGAATTGCTTTTGCACCTTTGTGAAAAGTCAGTTGACCATATTTGTGTGGGTCTCTTTCTGTGTTATTTATTCTGTTCCATTCGCCTCTGTATCTGTCCCTCTGTAAATACCACAGAGTCATGATTGTTGGAGCTGTATGTTAAGTCTTGAAGTGGGGAAGACTGATCCCACCCACTTTATTGTTCTTCTTAAAAATTATTATATCTATTCTACTTCCTTTGCCTTTCCATGTAAATTTTAGAATAACTTTGTTTTTATATACAAAAATTTTTGCTAAGATTTTTATAGGAATTACATATGTATCAATCTGTTTCTCTTCTATGAAGTAGCCAGGAACAACTTGGCGTGCTTTTAATTCACTTTTCTTCTCTCCTACTACCTCACTTTTTGTGTTCATTTGAAATTTCAGTTTCAGACTGATAATTATTAATTTTTAATATTGAAAAATTGTTATTGGAGGCATCATATTTCAATCAAGTACATCTTTAGCATAATGCTGATCTCTGTTGAGTAGAAGACCAGTGGTTTCTCCAAGCTGCCCACTATCAACTATACCATGTGGTGTGTTGCTCTGTGATTATATTCTAGCAGCAACAACCTTGTCAAAAATATTAGTATGATGGTTTACATTTTGATTAGGCAAATGGAAATTAGCACCCTGGATTATTTTCTATGCTTACATAGGAGTTTTTGGCTTGTGATATACATGGGAGGATTTTGTAAAGCAAGACGTTGGTAACGTTAAATACCAGTAGATGGAGGTGGCACGCCTTGGACAGTGTCTGTTCCATGGTAGCTATTCAAATATTTCTTGAATTAGATGAAAATTGATGATGTTGAACTCAAAGTCAATTCCTCATTTAATTTCTAATTATTCTAAATTTGGATAAGTTGACCCCATTCAAGATATTGTTGACTGGAACCAACCAAAATAACTTCTGTCACAAGTGAAATTATATCAGAATGAGTATCTTGATATGATATGAGGAAAAGAATAATACAGATCACCTGAATTGTGATGTGATATTGTGAAGCAAAGTGCCAATGAAAATAATTTAACTTAATTATAGTATATTATATAAATTAATATTTCTATTGAGTGGCATAGCCAGAGATTTTGGGTTCTCATACTGCCTAAATTGGCAAGTATTCAATAAATGTTTATTGAATTGCAATTAGACATACCTTTTAATCTACCAAATTTTATAAAATTTATTTATATTAATGGAGGAATAAAAGGTAGCATGTTTGTTTTTTGACCCCAGTCCCACTTCCTCTACCTGTACTCTACCTTTACTCTACCTGTACATTGTCTACCTTTACATTCCTCTTCTTAATGCTACTGCTCAAGTTTAGTCAAGACTCTTGGTTCCAAATAATAGGAATACAGTTTAAACTGACTTGAATAATAAGTGGAATTTAGGGGTGCCAATAGATGGAAAGAATGCTGAGATAACATATCGAATAGAAAGAAGTCTGTAGGAACCAGGACCCTGGGGATTATAGGACAGGAATATCACTCCATTAGAACCCACTCCCATCTTGCTTGTCTTCATTCTTTTTTATTGCAATCAGGCATTTGCCAAAAGATCAAAATGGTTGTCTACAATCCCATCCTCATATTCTTCTGGTCCTATGATCCCAAGAGGCAAGACCATTTCTCCTCCTACTCTTTTTTTTTTTTTTTAAAGATTTTTTTTATTGGGGAACCGGGGGATGAGAACAGTGCTGGGGAATCAGGGGAAGGGGAACAAAGTTGCTGTCCTTTTGTTCTTCAGTCTAGTTGTGGAGGATGTCGCCACCTGGCCCGAGTTGGCACCATCATTGCGCTCTTCTCGCGCGAGGCAGATCAGTCGCCGGCTTCTGGATGGCTGCTCATGCTGGCTGCTGGCCACACACTGCAGCCCATGGCAACCCACTGCAGCCCAGCTCCAGGTTGAGCTGTTGTTCAGCATCTTAGCTGCAGAGGGCAGTATCACTGGCCCTCATGTGGGATCTGAACTGGGGCCCTCTGGCGTCCCAAGCCAGCTCTTAACCAATGTGCCACTTGGCTGGCCCTTCTCCTCCTATTCTAAATTGGGAGATTCATTTGGATCATTCATTATGCCCAGAGAAAGGAGGGTACTGTGATTTGTCTGGTTTGGAGCTGATGCCAATCCCAATGGACAGGAGAGGATAGGACACACCAAAGAAGATGCAGGGGAAAGCTTGTCCTAAGACCAAATCATTAACTGTCACTGTCCTTGCCAAGGCTCCATTGCCCCAGCCCTCTGATGACTTCCTACTTCAATTTAGCTGCTTACTGTTCTCATAACAGCAATGGCAATTAAGGTTTGAAATTTTATGTGAAAGCATAAAGTAGTGTACAATTTCAAAGCAATATTGTGAATGAGCTATTTGGCTGAAGTTGGACTACAAAGCTAAAATAATACATTCATTTAACAGAATTTTCATAGTGCTTCTTGTGGATAAGGCGTCATACAATTATAGTATGTTGAACCAAGCATGGCTATAAGGCACTGTGAAATTATTCAGATTTCATCAAAGAGCTGATTAATTTTATTGCCTTATGTTATTTTTATTCATTATTTTATTATTTTCCTACCATAGTACTAGATATTTAAAAATTAAATTATAGTTATTGGCATAAAATTTGAATGGTATGGAAATTTTTTTTTTTTTTAAAGATTTTATTGGGGAATTGGGGGAAGGGGAACAGAGAAGTTGCTGTCCTTTTTGTTCTTCAATCTAGTTGTGGAGGACGTTGCTTCACTGGCCCAAGTTGGCACCATCATTGAGTTCTTCCCGGGTGAGGCAGATCAGTCGCTGGCTTCTGGACAGCCGCTCACGCTGGCTGCTGGCAACCCACTGCAGCAGGGGCTGCAGCCTACGCCGCCACCGGCAACTCACAGCATCCCAGCTCCAGGTTGAGCTGTTGTTCAGCATCTTAGCTGTAGAGGGCCGTGTCACTGGCCCTCATATGTGGGATCCGAACCGGGGCCTTCTGGTGTCCCAAGCCAGCTCTTAACCAACGCGCCACTCAGCCAGCCCAAATGGTATGGGATTTTAACAGTAGCTTTTCTGATATTTGATATCTGCCAAGGGAAATATTTTTGTTTTTATGAAGAGCTTACTCTCATTACTGTCACTTGATGACCCTTTTTTGAAAACTTATTTAGTGATTATGAATCACTCAACATACAGTCTGTAGTTAAGCTACGTTTTTCTAGTTATCTACCAAATTCAAGTGTATGACTTTTTCTGTCATTATAGTCTATTGCATCTGCTGACATGGATTTCAACCAGCTGGAGGCCTTCTTGACTGCTCAAACCAAAAAGCAAGGAGGGATCACATCTGATCAAGCTGCTGTCATTTCTAAATTCTGGAAGAGCCATAAGACGAAAATCCGAGAGAGTCTCATGAACCAGAGCCGTTGGGACAGCGGGCTTCGGGGCCTGAGCTGGAGAGTTGACAGCAAATCACAGTCAAGGCACTCAGCTCAAATACACACCCCTGTTGCGATAATGGAGCTGGAAATAGGGAAGAGTGGACAGGTGAGTTCGACTTCACCCAATTTCCCTTTGTAAACTGTTTTCCATTACATATATGCCATACATTCAGATTGATTTTATGTAACAGTCTTCTTTGCAGAGATAATAAGAATAATAGGAAAAACCCTGTTTCCTAGAATCCCTTTTCAGAGATGGAATCATCTGAAAATTTGGGTACTCCTACTTGTGCATAGAATCTGGAAACCAGCCTCAGGGTCCTGGCAGCTATCACAGAAGTACAAAATGGGTCAATAGGATTGTACAGAAGTTGGCCACTATTCCACTTTGGTTAGATCTCAGAATTCTTGGCATTTTTGTCAGAATCTCCAAGGCAATGATGAGAAGCTAAATAAAGACCAGGAATTGAGATTGAGCAACACAGAATAAAACTGTCTCACCCAGTCATCTTTATAGGCAGTCAGGCAGAGGAGGCATTAAGTACAGTAATATATAATATTGTTTCTAAAGCCTCGAAGTGCACTATCTCTGTCCTTGAGCCCACAGATAATTTTTAATTCCATGTTGATTATTTACAAAACACGGCTACTTTTCCTTGCAGATCATTTTAGCGTCTACATGGTTTTGCTTAAAGTCATTTGGTTTGTGCTCCAGATGACTGTCAGATCAGACTTCTAATGACCCTATGTATGTCTTTTGGGGGGGAAAAGCAGCATTGTGTAATCAGGAAGAGAAAACCCAGATCACTGAATTAGCTAACCAGATATTTTTTCAGATAAATAATGAAATAAATGCTTCTGTTACATCCTATAATAGAAATGTACTATTTGCTTCTAATGATGAGAGCATTTTTTGGTGGCAGGTTTCCTCACATATTTCCTTTTTAAGTTTCTTAGGATTTTTCAGTGTGATTTTTCAAATTTTTCATAATGACTTTAATTTCAATGTAAAAGATAATTCCTTTTCAAAAAATAATTCTTCAAAACACATTTGGAGGATCTTTTGTTCAGTTATTGTAAAATAGTGTTAATTGCCTTTATTGTCTTTGGTTTGTCTGGCACTAAAGTACATTTCTCTTTAAGCATTGTGTTACACCACCTTCCTCCTATTGTTCCTAGACCAAAAATCTGACAGAGTAGCAAGGTGCGATAAGTACACTTAGATATTTTACCAACAATTGTGTAGGCTATTCATTTTTTAATCTAGCTATAGTGATTATTTCATTTTGTTTTTAAGTATTTATCATTTGGACAGGAATATGAAAATATACATATCTACTTCAAGACCTTCCTAGAAAACTATTTTAGTATTTCCTAATATTTTTTGAAGTGGGATCAATAATAAAATGTGCCTAAGAAGGCAGGCTGATCTGGGAATGCAAAATACAGGCAGAGGGAAGAACAAAGGCAAGAAGTTGGCCTTGGTAAGAAATTTGGATTTTTATTCTAAGTATAATAGGAAACCATTAGAGGGTTTCAAACAGGAATGATGCAGTGTGATTTATGTTCATATAGGATCATTTGATTCATATGTGAAGGATGGATTATAATATAGTCAAGAGTGAAACCATGGTACTAAGATCCCAGGAAAAAAATCACTAAGGTTGGAATTGTTGTTTTGCACATTAAAAGCAACTCTCTTTTACTTCCAACTCTCTGTGTGATAGTTAGATAAAATGGATCTCAAGATTAAAAACAAAACATTTCACCCTTCATTCTGTTAGCAAGGTTAGGTTTCCGAAATGTGCAGAGCCAAAATTAATACGCGTCTTCAAAATGGGATTATGTTCAAAATGGGACTTTGGACAACCTCCACCCTACATTCCCACCTCTGTTCCACAATTACGAGAAGCCCCCTTCTTTTAAAATGTTATTGTAGCTTGTTTCAAAATTTATTTGTCAAGCTTAGGGATAACTAATAAAACTCAGTATTTTGCCAAAAGAAGAAAAAGTGAAGCTAGGAGAACACTTAGAGGGAGCTATTGTAGTGGTCCTGGTGAAATAACATTAGCAAGGAAGATGGAGATAATTTTAATAGCCAAGGTGGACAGAACTGAGCAGATAGAAGAAATGTTGTGAATGTAGATGAGTTGCTTTGAGATGAATTTGAAGAAATGTGGAACGTGAAAGGAAGGGAGGAATTTGATATCACTCTGGGGGTTTTGCATGACTATGGTAGTCTAAATTGGTAATCTTAATCTGTGACAGATTTGTTGCTAAGTTGACCATCTAATATACAACATGAGTTTTTGTTTTTTAAGATTTTATTGGGGAATTGGGAAAGGGAACAGTGTTGGGAAATTGGGGAAGGGGAGAACCTTGTGGTTTTTCAGGACCCATCAGCTCCAAGTTCATTCACAGCTTTCAGTCTAGTGGTGGGAGTGCGGAGGTGGGGGTGGGGGCGTAGCCCACCATCCCATGCAGGAGTCGAACTGGCAACCTTGTTAAGAGCTTGTGCTCTCACCAACTGAGCAACTGCTCAGCTCAAGGTGCAATGTTCAGTCTTAGTGGTGGGGGGCGCAGCCCACCATCCCATGTGGGAGTCAAACTGGCAACCTTGTTGTTAAGAGTATGTGCCCTCACCAGCTGAGCCATTCTGCCACCTGTTGGCAGCTCAGTGGCAGCTCAGTTTGGGCGCAGCTCACTGGCCCATGTGGGAATCTAACTGGCGACCCTGTTGCTCAGAGCTCATGCTCTTAATAACCAACTGCACCACCTGGCCGGCCCCACAACTTGAGTTTTTTGATAGCTATCATTAGCTCTTCCACTTGGGGAAAAATAAATCAAAAGAAAAATGTTAACATCTGGCTGTTAAGAAAATGCTGTTTGTGCTGAAGTAATTTTATTTTTTAACTCCCAATTTATCAAGAGATGCATTTGAGATTATTGAGCTTAAATTTTTCCTAATAGGCTTAAAAAAATCTTTCTTATGATGTGCCCTTTTCTGTATGTATATTATGCTTCATAAAAATGGTTTAAAGAGGGAGAGAAAGACAAGAGTGTGTTTGCAGACTTGTTGACCCTTGTTGAGAACAGGGCTTTGGCACTGCTGAAGTCCTCAGCTTCTGACTAGCACTTGCCAACGGACAGTTCCTGGTGTTGGACTTCTTTCAGGTTGTTGCTGTTCTGGCTCCCTGGTTCTATTCTTGTGGACAGATGGGGAGCTTGAAAGGAAGCCAGGAAACCAAGCCTTAAGAGGACTTGGAAACCATTTTTGGATGTAAGTCCTTTGTGCTATGCTCAGGGTGACAGTGTATCCTGCCCAGCAATGTTGAAACTGCTTGTGTTTGCCTACTATTTGTGTACTGGCCAGTTGGTTGTGGGCTTCATTCCATGTTTGCCACTGCTCTGCCGCCAAGATAAACGTAGGAGGCCTCTGGCCCAAGCCCATTCGTAGCACTTGTTTTCTTTTTTGTATGTGGGAAATATACATAACATAAATTTACCATTTAACCATTTTTAAATGTACAGTTCAGTTGTATTAAGTACATTCACAATGTTGTGCAAACATTACCACTCTCTATTTCAAGAACTTTTTTATCATCCCAAACAGGAACTCCCCATTCCCACCTTTCTCTGGCCCCGGCTGAGTCAGATTGGTTGCCGGCCATTGGATGGCTGCTCACGGCGGCTCATGGCAGCTCACAGCAGCTGCAGGCAGCTCACGCTGGCTGCTGGCCGCTCACGGTAGCTTATGGCAACCCACTGCAGCAGGGGCTGCAGCCTACGCCATCACCGGTAACTCACCGCAGCCCAGCTTCAGGTCAAGCTGTTGTTCACCATCTTAGCTGTAGAGGGCGCAGCATCACTGGCCCACGTGGGATCCGAACCAGGGCCCTGCTGCTCAGAGCTTGTGCTCCCAAGCCAACACTTAACCAACGAGCCACTTGGCCAGCCCGAAAGTTTTAAATTTTTATGAAGTCCAGTTTATCTATTTTTTTCTTTTGTTACTTATGCTTTAGTTGTCAATTCTAAGAACGCACTGCTGAATTTGATTCACAAAAAATTTACCCCTTTGTAGTTCTTATATTTAGGTCATAGATCCATTTTGAGTTAATTTTTATATATGGAGTGAGGTAGGGGCTGAATGAATTTTTCTACATGATCTACCTTTCCTTTATAGTCTTCTGGCCCTTTTGTATAATATAGTTTAACACTTAATTATATGTCCATTTATAATTTGCAAGTTCTTCCACCATATAGTTTCTTATTTCCCTATTAAATTTTAAAACTTTTGAGTACAGGAATTGTCTGATGTATATCTTAACAGTGAACATATAGAAAATCCTCAGAATATGCTTGTGATTGATTGGCAGACAATTAAAGACTGCCCAGGATTTGTGGATTTTGTGAATTTGTTCTTATGAAGAACTACTTCAAATTTGTGCTAGAAACCATTGCTCATAGAAGTAAAAGTCATATATCTGCCTTTCAAAGACCAATGTGTGTTCTTTGAAATTGAGAATTGTTTGCTTTAGTGGAATCTAATACACTCCATAAACTTCCCTTGCTGCTCTTTTTCTAATGCCCCTTTGAAACAGGGCAGAAACAAAAGTATAACCTTAAATCTTACTTTTAAATTCCTGGGCCGTTTACAATTTGTCTGTATTTAGTTAACTATTTTTTACTAAGTTAAAAAAAAAAAGACATGAATATTATAGGACCTGAGTTACTTCCCTATTTCTTTGGAAATAAGAATTTCTGGTAGAAGCAGTAATTTACCAGAGGCGAGTAAGCAAACCATAGTTCTTAGGTGATTTCTGATGATAGGATAGGCTTTAGTTATGCTTCTACTCACCTTTCTCCTCAGTTAATGAGCAAAGGTAGGTGTAGCATATTTTTTGGAGTAAAAATGTTGAATTAGAGCTTGGGAGAAGGAAGAACAGAAAAATATCTTTTTTAAAAAGTTACTTCTTAAAAAGAAGTGCCTTGCCTAGTAAGAATTCAAATATTTGATCTGTTTTAAATTGCCCTGCTCTTGAGTCAATACATATAGTTGATAAATTTGAATTGTATGTGGTCAGCTAATTGATATAGTAGATATCA